ATTCCCAGTTTTCTTTCAGGTAAATGTTGGAGATATAGTTATAATAAAAGGCAAAGACTTTATACCTGCTGACACTGTCCTTCTTTCATCAAGGTAGAGATGGCTACTGATGCTCAAACAGTGTAGAGGATGGTTTCTCTACCCTGCATTGACCTTGCGATTCCTCCAAGGAAATAAGGAATAAACGAAGAATTTGAAACCTCTCTAGTGATTTTGAAATAAGCATTGAAAACGGTGATTGGACCTAACAGGGCTTTTTCATGTTTGCCATAGAGAATAAGTGATAGATACATTCACAACTGACTGTGAAGAGTCTACTGTCTTTCTGGATGTGTCCAGATTCTTTTATATGGACCACTAACTCTGCGAAGACTTCCTGTTATTCATTTTCTATAATACATGGATTGGGTTCTATCGATGTTGTCTTTCCGTCCCGTTCATCATAAGTCCCTTTATGATGCACTCAGATATTGCTACAAAGGTTTTTTGATCCTTCTGGGGAAATGGTACAAGAAAATGGAAGATTCCATGTCCTCATGCCTTTTGAAATGCCATACTCTTCCAGCAACAAAAGTAGACTTTGTTCCTACTTTTTAGTTCCTTCTGTGACTGAATTTAGATCATTTTTTTTTATTTCACTCATATTTAAGACAGCTGCAAATTAGTATTCGGAACATATGGGCACTGTTACCCTTTAAAGAATGTGGTTTTTATAAAAATGGTTTTGGGCTTAAAAGCTGTGAAATGAGTCCTAATAGAAATGAATAAGAAATGGTTTTCATATTTTAGAGGTTGTTTATCATCATTTCCTTGGACAGTTTTATTTGTAAAAATTCACATATAAATATGGACGGTGTCTTTTTTTTCAAAATCTATTTAATCAGGTCATTACTTAAAGTGATTATTCACAAGTTAATGGAACTTAAGTGAACAAGTGAGAATTACCTTGATATTTAAGCAATAAGTCTATAGGCAATTGAAGTAACTACTGTAGTTATATTTCTATATTTTGTAGTAGACCTCATTTTGTGTCATGCTCCTATAGAATTTGGTCTTAAGAAAAATTAATAAGAATCTTTTATTTATTTTTTTTTTTTGAGAGAGATTTTTGCTCTAAGGCACATATGCTTGCCATAGAGACAGATAGAGAGACAGAAAGCAAGAAATCACCCCCCAGGATGGATGGCCATGCCACAATCCTTTCTCCTCCATTCTCCTCTTGGGCTCTTAGGCATGCACACACATGCGCCCGATGTGAGTTCTAAGTTGTTGGATCTGGGACTTGAACCACGGTTCCCTACGTGGGAGTCAGAGATGGAACCATTATGCCATCTGCTGGTCCTGATAAGAATCTTTTTGAATGAACCTTTCTCTTCTTAGTTTCTTTTGATTATAACTTTATCAGGGTACGTTTCTAAAACAGAAGCAAAGCCAACTGTTTGCACTTACCCATGTGAGGCTGAGTTTGAGGGTGTCTGTGGTCACTAGCTTCAGTTCTTCGTAATACCAGGTATTGGGGACAGCTGTGCTTGGGAGACAGAAAACCAGCATTCTTATCCCAGCTTGGTCATTTTGAACAAGCAACTTTTTCAGGCCTTGATTTTACATCTTTTACATTGAGGAAGACAGATTAAATGACCACATTTTTGATTCCCCAGTTCTGCTTTTGCTTAAATTGAGGCGCTGTACAAGTACCTACCAGAATGATATGCCTCTGGTGGTACTAAGCTTGATAAATGTTTTGGATAATTGTCCATCTGAATATCATCTCTCTTAAGAAAGTTCCAAACAATAGTAACAATACTTTCTAGCAAGTTAAGAAAGTATTCATGTTTTCCTGATTAAAATTTTAGAGATGTTAAGATGAAGAGAACCAGAGATGAATTTGAATTTGAATTCCAAAATTTATTTTTATATGCTCAAAAATGGCAAGGTAATGTTTTGACCTTATACGTAACCTAGGTTGAAAAATGTTTAAATAGTTGCCTCTATCCACTCCCAAAACTGCCCAGCAAGCTCTGTGTTTGTATTCCTTTCTTTTTTTTTTTTTGTTTTTTTAGAGGTTTTTTTGCTATAGGGCACGTGCGCTTGCCAGGCAGACAGAGAGACAGAGAGACAGAATGCGAGAAATCACCCCCCAGGGGGGATGGCCACTCCGCAATCCCTTCTCCTCCATTCTCCTCTCGGGATCTTGGGCACGCATGCACACGCGCCCGGCGTGAGTTTTAAGCCACCGGGTCTGGGACACGAACCATGGTCGACTACGTGGGAGTCCAGCGACATAGCCATTACACTAACTGCTGGTTCCCTGTGTTTGTATTTCTTCAACTTTAGAGCAGTTTTATGGTGTTGGTTATCTAAACATTGAAAACATTTATTGCTGGCTATCAATACTGGTAGATCAAACAGTTTCAGATATATTTTTTTTAAGTCTTGCCACAGAGTGCATACACTCCCCAGAGAGACAGAGGCAGTGAGAGAGGAAGTGAGAAATCACCCACCAGAGACATGGCCATGCTGCAGTCCCTTCTTCTCCATTCTCTTCCTGAGATTTTGGGCACGCACGCATATGCACCCAGCATGAATTTCAAGTCAATGGGTCCAGGACCCAAACTCTCATTGGCCATGTGGGAGTCCAGAGCCTTAACCACCATGCCACCTCTGGCCCCTCTATAATCTTAATTTAGCATCCACAGTGATTAATTTCTTTCAAATGTTATTATATCTTAGAAGATGATCTGTTTTATTGTTTTATCCAGTAGAGGTTAAGGTGTAATATCAAGTTTGTGCTGTTAGACAATTCTATCCGAGCAGCAGAATGCTACCTTTCAGTTGGTTGTTCGTTTCTCAAAGAGTTTTTTTGTATTTCCTAACTCTTTTGTACCTATATAACCTTAATAAATAGGTAGTCGTTTTTAATCACAATTTAAGAGAAAGATATTTTGATGTTAAGTCTTATTTTTAGACACTTTAGCTGACCACTATGCAGGTTTGAGATACACCTGCCTTCATCCTGCACTGCCCACTGTAAAAATAAATACCCGGTGATTTCCACCTGCAAGTGAGCACCGTTTCACAGGAA